GTAGGACATTGCTAATATATCCTAATTATTCATTTAGTTTATCGTTCAACTTCCCGTCATAAACATAAATATAACATTTTGAAAAATCATTCACCGACGCATGCGATGCTTCCAAGTGATGATCTGTATGAATGTTGAATAAATATGTGTACATTTATGTGTTATATAAATTTAAATGAGTGTGTTTGTGTAGGAAATTGCTAATATATCTTAATTATTCATTTAGTTCATCGTTCTACTTCCCGTCATAAACATAAATATAACATTTTGAAAAATCACTCACCGACGCATGCGATGCTCCCAAGTGATGATCAGTGATGTAACGTTCCTAGTAATAAACGTAATCGTCTTTTTCTGCCGTCCCAACCTATTCTTATAACTGTAACGTACGTTTGGCCGAATCGCGACACTTGCATCTACGACAGTTAGAGTTTGGATTTCTACCGAAACAACAACCCCTTTTACGTCTGTATCTACGCCATCCAAATGTTCGTCGCCTACACTAGTTAAACAATATATGTGCCACACCTGTTCGCATTTACTACAATATCCCCATTCATATGGCAAAATACCGAGTGTGTTGTATCGCTTGCATGAAGTGTCAATATCACCCAACGTGAGTGTATCCATGTTTATGCTAATGCAAGCTTCAAAGAAGCGTTTATTTAAGTGTTGCTATCTATTATGTATACAAATTCTGGCATTAAATGAAGATCATTTTAATAAAGGGTACATTATTTGGTTTTCCAGGTTGTTTGTCAAGTCTCTAAAAAATGTACCCCAAAAATAGAATTGGCTAGGATGTTTGACTTGTTCAATTTAGAGGGCTATGAATTTTGTTTTTGTTTTTGTTTTTGTTTTTGTTTTTGTTTTTGTTTTTTTGTTTTTTTAAAATATGCTTTCGGGTTTGACTTTTGACTGCTTGTAAATATGTGTATGAATTTAAATAAATAGGTCTCTTGGGGTTTCCCATTGCTTTTTGTTTTTTGAAATATTATTGTTACGGTGTTAAGAGTTTCTTTTCTGTAGCCACTATTATAGCTCTCATTTTATAGCCAATGCGTATGTAGCCGGTTAACACAGCTCAATATATGGTATTGATTTTTTTCTCTTGCACCAGTCTTATTCTTTTGTGTACTTCTTCGGTGTGATCTTCCAATTCTACAATAAGTCGCTTGACCTGCCGAAGTTCTGCTTGCCTATACTATAAATCAGCAGGTGGTCCTTGATTTTGAGATTGATACCTTTAATGGAGGGTTTGTTCGTGCGATGAACCGCCACTTGGGTTGTTCGAACTTTATTGAACCGCCACCTGGGTTGTTCGAACTTTATGGAGGCTGCCGACGTGCCTGCTGACATGGGTTTTCTGTTCGTTGGTTAGATTGTTGCCCCCCTCCTACATTCTCATCGTCATCATCCGATGAATCATTATCGCTGTCTTGACCATTGGAGCCATTATTTCATTGTTTCCACCACTATCATTGCTATATGTTCCACCTGAACCACCAGTTTTGCCATTGTTGTCACTTCCGCCTTGTTGCGTGGCAGCTAGATCATAATCTATCACCGCAAAGGGGTCTACTTTTTACACAATAAAAAAGGGAGACCTAAATACCACCCTAGTGATGTCTATACATTCCCAGCAGAAGTATCTGAATACGTGATTGTTGAAACCTAGAGTTGAATGTAGTGAGACGGACGGGTTGGATGTTAGTGCTATCTAGAGAGCACATTTTGCTAAGATACGCAATAAATTTAAATATGTGAGAATTGGTCGTAGTTATGGATGGATGAGATACTTGCACGGACCACGATAACCGCACGATTCGACTGCAACTAATGCATCGGGATATGTCTGTAGTACAAACCGAGTACGCTTAGTAAAAAGTGTTAAGTCTGAAATAAGTGAACTCGGTCGGAAGTGCCATTTTGGATAGCGCGCCTGCTGTATTTATTTATCACGTTCCTATATGGGGCAAAATTATCTCTAACAACGGGTGATTGTGAAAATACTTATATCTATGGTTCTGGTCTCTTAGTTACTAAATTATGATGACGTCCGAAGATTCATCCTTTGAGGCGGTCCTGTAATAATTCACTTAAGTCTGGTTCTCTGGTCCAGTCCTAAAATTTTCGTATAGGTCCGGTCCTCTAGCACGATCCTAAATCTCCGTCTAGGGTACTTTGTCCACACGGCTGTATAGAATCTATATATGTGTTTGCTTGTGTACGTTTATCCCTACTCGGTTTTGATCTATATCTTCCTTTGGCCCATGTTGTTGCCGACTTACTTTGTGATACTGTGTGTACCACACTTTTCTCGCTCGCGACCCTGCGCTACTTGGAAGTCTATTGAGTAGATAAATTTAGTCAAATGGGCCGAGCTGACCTGTTGTGGATTCGTCATTGTTTCCACCACACTAGTATTAGTATTGTCAAAGGGGTAGTTGGTGATATCACTTGTAAGGACGTGATGATGATATACACGTTCTGCTAATTAGCAGCCTATGTAGCATCTAATGGTGTTCATTGAGCACAAAATTGACTATTCTGTGACTCTTGCCCCGTGACTATGTTTTTGACCAGCACATTTTGCAAGAAGCAGCCCGGCAGTCCAAACGTACAACATGACTACTATACAATGGTCTAATGAGCTCATTACAATCGATAGGATTCAAAACTTGAAAATGATTACTATACAGATGCTTGGGGCAGGAGTGTAGTATATGATGTTAATCGTATTTAAAAACCAATAGTCGAGCAGAAAAATAGATATTAAAACCGCCTACCTCTGATTGAGAAACCTCAACAACCGTTTCCGAAAATCTTTCGTTGACCTTTTGGCGCGCCACTTTTGTGTTGGCCAACAGGATTGCTAATGGTCGACTTCTGGAGTGTAAATAGAGATAATAATATTTATTTCAAAAGAGATAAGTTACAATGTTTGTACATATGGTATGCCCTCACAGTCATTGTAGAGGTTCGGGAAAGATCGATGAGAAGAAGTGGTTAGTAAATTCACGTTTGAAGTTTGGGCCAAGTGAGTCGACGACGGAGGATATGCGTTGGGTCAATTCAGGCTGGTGCTGACAAAAAACTGACATCATCGAGTGTGCCACGTATTCGCTTGCTGACCTACTAAGTAGAGTGCCCACCTTGTGTTGTGGTACGAACCGGGTCTGCACCGTGTAGTGCCGTGGAAAGGGTTAGTGCAGAGTACGAAATGTCGAGTAGGACCAGGTTATCCATCATAATTCGGTTGAGGAGCGAGTTTGGGAGTGAACCGATACCGCACCAGACCACGGATGCACTCGGTATGTGCTGGTTGACCTGGATCGGAAGTATCATAGGCGGAATCAACAGACGCGATGACTTGGTTTAGACCGAAATTTGGAAGTAGTACTTCAACAGCGTGATTAGCCGGGGTATGGGGAACATTTGTTGATGTGTCAGAGACAAGTGTGGGTACGGAGGCTGTTTTGCATGCTAGAAAGGATACCAGGTGTTTGTAAAGGGTCCAGATACCGTAGAAATCCTGGCGCCCCTGTGATTGCTGGAAGAGGTCGGGGCCAATGGGAAGCAGTTTTGGACCTACCAGGGTGTGTCGGATCAGTTCCTGGGCGCAGGTTAAGCGGCTGGTGGTGAATTTGGGGCCACCGGGGCAGACAGGGCAGAGACAGCCGTCGGTGCGGTAGTCGATCAATGTGAATACAACATGTACGTATTTGTTACAACTATCGACAGCACATAGCCGGATTGGTGTAGGCTCGAAGCAGCGATTGAAGCAGTCGTGTCTGGCTTTGTCCCGATTTGAGGTTGGCAATTTGCCCATGACCAGTTAGTAGTAGTATTGGCGCCGGGTAACTGCCGCGATCTCCTTGTTGGACCATCGTTTCGTTGAGTTTTTCCTAATGTCGTCACAGCGTCGGCGGATGGCTACATGGTCGGGTGTGTGCCCGCCCGTGGTTTTGTATACAGTTTTCAGGTAGGCATAGATACTGTACGGGAAGCGCAATGATGGTTTGTTGTGGGCCCAGGCGGGTTGCGTCAGAGGGGTGAGTGGGTTTATGCTGGCCATTGAGTCGAGTTGTATTCCCAGGCAACCTCCGAGGTAGTCCGCGAATGGTCGTGTGGGGAGCAGGCCACAAAAGTGGAGTAAGTTCTTTTTATGTTTGGAAAACCTAGAATATTTAGTGCCCGTGATGATGGCTGCTGTTTGTATGAGTGCTGAGTTATAGCGCTCGAACAGGAGGTCCAACGCATCCTTCCATATAGGCGGAGCCCAGACAAGAATGTTCAGGCCATATGTAGCCGTGGATAAAATGAATGTTTTGAACAGCACCAGCCGATTGCAGGGGTGTCGCCAGCTGAAGCCACGGAAGCCATAAGCGCGGAAGGAGGCGATACCAAGAGACAATGCTGCAATCAGGGATTCCATGTCTGGCGAGATTGATCCCTGATATTTCGTGGGGGAGTGGGAACTCCGGGTAATATCTTCAGGGGGGAGGTAACGTGTGTTCCAAGATGCATCGGCGAGCGTCGGTATGATAAGCTCACCTTTTATGCGGAGGGTTGGCGCCGCGGGTCGCAAGTCAGTAGATCGTACCCAGAGTTTGATGACACCCTGTTCGAGGCCATATTTGTGTCCCCATGCATCAATGTCGTCTAAGAAGGGCTGGAGTGGAACCGGTTGGGGGGCTTGGATCCGTGTGTCGTCGATAAATAGATAAGACTGGGGAAGCTTGGGCCGGAACTGTGGTAGCGTGACAGCCAAGGAATCCATGTAGACAATACAGAGCTGGGGGCCAACGATTCAGCCTTGTAGGATGCCATTCGTTCTATGAAATATAGGCGAGAGCTTTTGTCGCGGAATGTCACTCGGGTAGGGACCCTCTCAAATAGTGCGCGGATGCAGTTGATCCATGTAGCATCCAGGGGCCATATTATCAGAGAAACCAATCCTAAACCCAAAACCCAGGATCATCAAATACTGAGTTTTGGATCTAGGATCCAATATTTCTGATGATAGAGTGATCAGACATATAACGGGAATACCTGTAGATGATACCGGGACTCCCGCGTGTGAGAGAAACACTTAAGCAAATATTGGGTCTAGTGTAGAAAATACTAAACACCAAACAAGACTCAATGCGAGTCCTTCAGCCTAAGACTTTTACCTAGCTGTAGGATTCGCACTTGAGAAGAGATCTATTGTTTCTTCTGGTCGTACCTTATGGACTACTCTCAAACTCTACATTTTTAACAATATCTTTACCACGGTAAGTCTAGTATAGTTAAGAATATTAACAAAACTAGAATGATAGAACTTGAAGACTACTTGATATCGAAGCCGCAGAACAATCAGAGGGAGGGACGGAGAACACAACAGGAAGTAGGGAAGAACAAGAGAAACTTCACCGAAAAGATTAAGTGTCCAAGACGCCAAGCTCGTCCTAAGATATCACACTGCCACAAAACAAGTAAGTAAGACTAGGGTGAGCTAAGGCAAGTACTCTTGGCAAAACAAGCGTTAGAAACAGCGCACCCAACTTATTGTTTATGTTCAGACATTAAAAAAACACAAAAGTGTCACAGTGACAACTTGCTTAATATACAGATAAAACCAAAGTTCAAAGTTGGGAACGTAGAAAGTTCAAGAAAGTGTCACAGTGATATCTTCTTTATTTTTATAGACTATCAAGAGAAAGAAGCTCTGTACGTATCCAGACTAACTAACACTCAACTACAGAGGGGCTAGGGAGACACAAAGAACCAAAGTCAGAGGACAAAAACACAGGAGAATTACAAAGAGGAATTCACGGTGCCTGCAACAACACTCAAGTACGGGTTAGGGGCATGCTAAACTTAGATTGTACATATGAAATCACAACTAAGTAAAAGCAGACATTATAAAATATATCATAAAGATCCTACTAAAGAATTGACAACTAAAGTTAGAAGAACTAGTAGAACAAGGAAACACAAAGCTACATATAAAACAAACTATGAGCACGGAGAATCAAATTCGAACTTGACAAGACACGTGATCAGACTTCAAGACGGTGACAAGAGAAGCGAAGTAAGAAGTTAACGTAATATACATCACATCACAATACGTGAACAAGAAAAATAGTTCACTTATCAACAGGCTAACCTCAAATCAGACACAAAAAACCTACGTTTGTCATACAACGTATACACCTAGCGGGGAAGAACGGATGTACATAAATGTAGAACGATGAAATATACCAAATCATAATTCAATTAAAACTACGACACGAATTAAGCACACAAAACGCGTCAAGCCAAGAAAAGAACAACTCGCACGAAACAAACAAACTGGTGACACACACATACCTGGTGAGCATCTTACTGAACATCTCAGAGGAGAAATCGTGCGATCTCATACCAAGAGACACAACATAACACAGAATACAGACGTCTAAAGTGGACCAGTGTCTAACAAGCACAGAAACTAACAAGGATAAAGAAGTAGCCGGACATAAACAAGGTTAGAAACACCAAACTCAAGCGAAATCATCATATTCACACTATAAAATCACCTACACCATCAAATCACCACTAATTACGGGGAAGTCACAAAGTAACAATCCCCAAGCTAAAGAGAGAACAAGTAAGTTCGGTTGAACTCCGCAATCACAAGCTATACACTCGTAGCTAAGAATTGAAAACACAGTCCACAATCCATGGACATTAGCATCCATCAATAGCGTACACTTCACGCTTAATTCTGGCCACAGTGAGAACTAGGAAGACTAGTACACACGCGAGGGCCACTCACTTACAAGAATAAAGTGCACATAAAAACGTAGTGTGAACAACAGTAATGACTACGAGAACACACTCCACAATCCATGGACACAGACATTCAAAAATTCAAACGGCTAAATTAGTTTTAAAACATAAAGTCACATGGACCAGCAAAACGCAACGAATCATAGAAAAAGTATGTGTCAATATCAAAGAGCACGAAATAAACTTGGGTTGCACTCCACAATCACAAGCGCTACACGAAATAACTTGGGTTGCACTCCACAATCACAAGCGCTACACGAAATAACTTGTATTGTACTCCACAATCCCAAGCTCTACTCTAGTACACAAGGTTAAGAGGCACGATCCACACTCCATGGACAACAAAGTACAACAATTGAGTACGAAATCACCTTGGTGTGGCATCAACACACACAATCACAGAACACAGTCCACGGTCCAGGGACACAACAGTCCATAGACACACAAGTTCAAGAATACGATACACAATCGTAAGAACATAGACATCAGAAACATATACGACGTATGAAGCCACACACACAACGTACAGCATAGCCTAAACACAAGAGCTGAATAAATTACAACGCCAAACATTATATAGAAGCACAGGCATCACAATACAATAACCACAAGTGTCACAGTACACAAGGACAACAGACGGTCTTGAACAAGACATCAATGCTAACAACAACAGACTACATAGTGATAGAAAGTACACAAACCAAATGCAACACATTGCATACTGCACAAGCACAGAGACAAAACCAAGTTCGGTACAACCACAGTATAAGACTATAGGACGAAATAAAAAACCAGAAGCCCAGGAATTTTTGGCATCTTCGTAATCATAGAAATTTTAAAAACACAAAAACCATAAACCAAGAAGACTAAACCAGACAACCAAGTTTATACCCAAATTCGAGACAGAAACCAAAGTTTATCAGCTCAAACCAAAAAAAACCAAAATAAACCCAGGTACCACGGTTCCGGTCAATTCAATCAAACAGGGGTACACGCTGCGTACATCACAGCCACCGCACACCACGGAGGAAGCCCCATCAAGGTAACAAATCGATTTTGACACAGAACAAACGCATTACCAACGAACCACACATTATAAGTTCGGGAATACGATGAGTTTTAACATCGCATTGAACACTGATCACACAGAACAGTCAATGACGTCTGCGCTATACCAACGAACACACGCAGCACGAAGGAGCCTACGCACACAAGTAAGCTCAAGTCGTACACACGCACGGGGGAGCACAAGTCGCACTGCCAGAACAAGACCGGTAGAAGCAGACACGATGCCAGTTTCACAGACATCTTCTCGTACCACCACTCCACCCAATAGAGAAGGCAACATGCACATGGACGATGAGTCCACACCAGCAAGAGCTCCAATGGATCCAGCGATGAGTAAGTACAACATAGTCTTGGACAAGACCATCTATGAGTGCAACTACTACATAGTAGACATACTAGTAGACAAGTTGTATGCACAAACAGCACACGATCCCATTGACATACGAGCACTCCACAAACTTCGCAAAGTAGTTCATGACCAACAACCAAAGCGAGTGATACCAGTATTAGACGAGGGGTTAGCAGAGCTACACAATAAAGCTATGAAGAACTGCGACAAAAGTGATCACGATGAGTGCATTGCGATTAGTAGTTTTATGAGCGAGTTAACTCTAATTAGATCTCACGCAGGGGACAAAGTATCAGAACCAGAACTTCCAAATTACTCAAGATGAGTGAGTTCCCTAAGTGGCCAGTAGGCAAATATGTCAGCATGGCTGATTGTCGTGACACAATTGAGTTTGTATCTGTAGCCAAAGACCTGTTCGCGAGCACGAACATGCCACTAATACAGTGCCTCTCACTAGTACAAGAGCTGCTCAGACAGACAGTCAGACTCAATAATATACGTAGTACCAAAAGGCTTTGGCAAGACTTCACTGATGTGGAAGACTACAATATATTAATCATTGACAACCTGCGTCGCATTCCAGTAGACTATCTACTAGAGAAGTGGCTCAACGACTTATATGACACTCGTATGAATGTTAAAGTACGGGCAGCACGGTTGCGGCGCACAATGTTTGAGTTAGAGAAGCGCTACAAGGGCACTACTGAGAGAGTGGCTATCAATTGGCAATTCCTCAAAGCATCACGTTACCAAGTACTAGTCATGTACGGTTTGCAAGCGGAAACGGACAACTGATCAAAGCTCAGACGAAACCAGATGGTAGTAGTGGACACTTGTCTGACATCTCAGAAAAGGTGTTTCATGATCTCACTAAAGACATGATCAGACAAGCAACAATACTACAAGCTAATCGCAAGCGTGAAAACGAGCGAGCGAGAAACGCAACTGTTCTTGAACCACGAGCCACTCGCCCAAGACTAGAAATACCTACAGGAGGTCCACCCAGAGGGGGGAGATCCCCAAGAGGGGGAGATCACCAAGAGGGGGAGATCACCAAGAGGGGGAGATCACCAAGAGGGGGAGATCACCAAGAGGGGGAGATCACCAAGAGGGGGTAAGAGGTGGAGGTCCACCAGGAGGGCAAGGCAGAGGTCGTTCCATAGGACAGGCCAATGACACCCCAGCATCGCGAGGACCACAACCTTGCCCACACTGCGGTATAAACCCTTCACCACATGCGTTCAGCAAATGCCCCAACAAAGGCGAAAGCAATCGCCTTAAGGCAGAAGCTCGAGCAGCGCGACAAAACCAACCCGTCCATATCGACCAGTTGGCCATTACAAATGGCAATAAGGTATAAGAGATGGATGAAGATCGATGAAAAGCTTGGCGGTCGGATGCTAACATGATAAACATGGTAGACATTGTGAACACACACACTGGTGAAGAAACGTTGTTAGTAAATGCGAATGATATTGCTTACACACCCATTTCTTTACTTCCGAATCCACGAGACCAAAGATTGCACATAGTCATATAAATCAATGGCACCACATAGAATGCACTAGTAGTCTCAGGAGCACAACGCTCTTGTATGGACCGAAGTGTAGTAACTGAACTACATTTATCTGTAAAAGCACAACCTGGGTACATACAACTCGCACAATCCGATGCAAGAGTACAACACACAGGTTCCACAGAAGTATGCGATATAAATTACGGCGGTAGAAAAACGTCAAACTGCTTTGAGGTACTTGACCTCCCAGACAAGAAATCACCAATTCTATTAGGTATGGACATCCTACCATACTTAGGCATATACCTAGCAGGGATAATCAACCCACTGATACCAACAGATGCCAAGTGGGAATAACTTCTCACACCACATGAAGAAGACCCTGAACATGAACAGGAAAGATTTAGAAAATCACTCTCAGACTTGCTAGAACAAAATGGTCAGGTCCCACCAGATGTACACTGCAATCTACCAGGATCAGTGGTAGAGATATCAAGATTGAGGTCAAAGCCAAGAACATTCGTCATGCTAAAGAGAACTTTGTTCAACACAAATACATACCACAAACATATGAAAACGGTCAGAAATGGGTCAAAGATGGACACATATATAAAAGAACAACATCCACACAAGTGAATCTACCACTACTACCCATAGGAGAATTTGAACAGACAGGTCTGTTAAAGAAGGTACGCACATGTTTAGACTTACGAGACGTAAATTATTAACATGAACAAGACAAATTCGTATTACCAAAAATAAAGGAAGTACTCCACAACCTACAAGGTGCACAATTCTTTTCCAAACTGGACTTAACTGGAGGCTTCCATCACTATAAAGTACATGGGAATAGCCAACACTTCTTTACATTTTCATGGAGAGGAGCACAATACTCGTTCAAGTCAGCTCCATTTGGACTACATTCATTAACAGCACAATTCCAAAGCGTGATGGCCAACCTCCTCATTGACATTAAAGGAGTACAAGTATATGCAGATGGCATGGTCATTGCCAGTATGACAGAGGAAGAACATAGACAAACAGTACGCGAAGTCATCAAACGACTTAATGCTGCCAACTTCAGGCTAAATCACAACAAGTGTGCGTTTGCAGTCGAGACAGTCAACATACTAGGCGTCAAAGTAACAACCAAAGGGCTTAAAACAGACCCAGAGAAACAGAAACGCATGATTGACTGGCCTCTGCCAAGAATTGCATCGAGCAGTCGGTCTAGCAAATTACATGCGAGACCACAAACCTCAGTTCACACACATAACAAAACACTTCCACAATCTCATAAAAGGAAAAATAATCAGAACATAGCCAATCCTTGGACACCAGAACTCATTAAGAAATGGGAAGAACTCAAACATGCCATTGCATGCTCAGCAACTTTGGCGTACCCAGTAGATGGAGTACCGTTTCAGATCATGAACGACGCAAGTGACTATGGCATAGGAGGATATCTGTTCCAAATTGCAGATGGAGTCAGAAGAGATATACTCTATTTCTCAAAAGGTCTCAACCCTGCACAACAAAGATATGGAACAAATACTAAAGAGTTGTTAGCACTCGTATACAGTCTGTAATTTTTTTCGGAATACATCAAGAGCGGTGATATAACATTGTGGACAGATCACAAAGCGTTATGCCAGATGAACAAACAACAAACACTGCATCCCATGCTCGCAAAATGGATAGCGAAAACATTACATCACCACTTCACTATCATACATGTACCAGGCAAAGATAATGAAGTAGCTGACAAATTGTCACGATTACATGAAGACATATTCAACATCAAAACATCGAATGTGTTGAAAGAAGCCAATGAGCACATACACAATGGTCAAGAATACACTGACCTAGAAACAAACATGCCCATCCGAGTGTTTGCCATAGACTGGAAACTATCTCCACGGGGTTTTCAAGATGCAGAACGCGTGTTTGAAAAATTCACCATCGATTTATTTGCAGCTGCACACAATGCTCAGACCGCAAAGTTCTATACCAAAGTACAAAACGCGCTACTACAAAAGTGGGCAGATGAAATAAATGCATGGGCGAATCCTCCCTGGGAACTTATACCAGACGTGTTAGACAAAGTCATAGAGGAAGCCACATACATTACAATATGCGTCCCATACTACCCAAGCGCAACGTGGTTCCCTTAATTCTTGTCATTACTTGAACAAGATCTGATGATAGTCGAGAACACAAACAACACATTCCTAAAGAACGGCACAGCAGCTTGTGGCAAAACACCATGTCTCCATATTTTGACCAAAAACTAACACACCCAGCAGTGAACATTGCACCCATACACATCGCGGACGAAACAGCAGAGCTAGACACAGTCACGTATGAAGACAAAGCCACACTCATAGCTCTACACAGTAGGTCACTACACTGCCGAAGTAACAGTGAACAAACTCACACTAGATGGCCACACATGGTCTCGACAGAAGGAACATGTCAACCAATATATTGAGGGCTGTGTACCATGTCTCTAGAAAAAAATTCACTAGAAAGGATTCCACCCTTTACAATCAATAACAGCCGCATTCCCGGGCGATAGGATACAAGTGGATACCATCGGTCCCTTGGTAGACTCGAATATGGGCAACACGTACGTCCTGGTATGGCTAGATGTGTATTCATCATACGCTATACTGAGACCGATGATGGACAAATCGGCAGCCACTGTTGCACGAACACTAGTTCCAATTATGTGTGAACATTGATTTCCACAAGTCATACAGACAGATCAGGGCACAAAATACGTGAATGATATACTCTCAAAAATCATTGAGCAGGCACCGTCACAACACTTAGTGTCCAGACCATATCAACCCAAGGTAATGGGAGCAAAGGAGCGCTCACACAGAGGCCTCATTCCTTTACTAAGAAATTCTATTGAACAAAATCCAGGCAGCTGGTGCTCACGCCTACCATTTGTCCAAATGGGCCACAACCACCGTTCGTCACGCAGACACAAATCACCAAGGTTCAATGTGTACTATGGGCGACGACAAAACAAACTCACCAATTATGACACGACAGTCAATGCACCGGGTACAACAACACCATGGGAAACACGACTATAGAATCTAGAAGAGTCAATACGACCACAACTAGACGCCAATGTGGCACAATATCAAAAGAAAATGCGCGCAGCATTTGATCGAAAATTTCAAGAGAAGTATGTACACTTCCAAGAAGGGAATATTGTGATGGTTTGTTGCCTAGGTGAAATGGATAAATGACAGCACCATATGGAGGACCATACAAGATAGCAAGCAAAGAGGGCAACGGATATTTCGTCTGTAACCTTGATGGAACTAGCGCCCCCGAATATCCCAACTCAGTCAATGATGAGCTAATTGGGTTAGTCAAGAAGGCTAGCGAATCCGAAGAATTCACTACCAACAATCAAGTCCAACCATCAGAAGAGACTCAATTATCCTCCATACTAGACCACAGAGAATCCACAAGAGGCGGAGGAACCCAGGACTACCTACTGCAATGGACAGATGGAGAGCGCACCTGGACACATGAATCAGACATCGCAGATCCAGATATTCTTACGATATATCGACAGAGTAAACGACGTAAGCGAAGGCAATCCAGGCCGAAGAAGTCAACAGCAACCAGCACTGATGTACGATCAGCGAGCAACAGGCAGCGCACGAGGCGGGAACTTAGCCAAGTTTCACTGACACCAAAGGACACTCCCACTTTTTTCACCTTGACGCATGCTCTGCCCACACACCAGAGGTATAAGGACCAAAGACTCGGTTGAGAGCCACCGTTGAGATGTGTTTCCCTAAGCCAAGTTGAGATCGACCGAGAGCACAGGTCAAGACTGACTCCGATGGGCGTGGTAGAGTACTCCTGTTATTTAGTATAAATTAATTTAACAAGTAATATGTTAAAATAGAGAATGGTGGCAGGTTTTTCAATGCCCCCTACGGGACAAGTTTTTCCCTGTACGAAACACCAACCTCTAGATAATCCAGTCCTTTAAGATGTCACTTTTTATTCCTACGCAGGCTGAGAAGCATAAAGTTGGGGGGCTGTAGCATCCAGGGGCCAGATTATCAGAACAGCCAATCCTAAATCCAAACCCCAGGATCATCAAATACTGAGTTTTGGATCTAGGATCCAACATTTCTGATGATAGAGTGATCAAAAATATAGCGGGAGTACCGGTAGATGATACCAGGACTCGTGTGAGAGTCTAGTGTAGAAAATATTATATCTCAGCCTAGGACCTTTACCTAGCTGTAGGATTCGCACTTGAGAAGAGGTCTATTGTTTCTTCTGGTCGTTTCTTATGAGCTACTCTCAAACTCTACATCCAGTTTTTGGGTATTCCATGGTGGCGCAGAAGTACCCACAGGCGCGGGAGAGCCACCTTGTCGTATGCCTTGGTAATTGAGTGAATTGGTTGCAATGGCTTACATATATACTATGTCATATTTTATTTTTTAATATTTGCGGTGCCTTTACAATTGACCTAAAGGCTGCTTCTCACAGTGAGAATAGGGATTTTCAGCTACTTACGACTCTTCTCAATTACATGATGGTTCGAAACATCAACAACGATTTCGATTCATCTCATGTGTGGATCCTACGTTCCAATGATGCTCTCCCGGTTTATTTTTGGGCCAAGAAAAATACTGGTTCCATGAAGGAAAAGCACTTTCAATAGCTATTGAAGCAGTGCGTGAACCACTTATAGTCGCGCATCTTGTCTCAATCGTCCTGTGACTTTGTTGACCCTGGCTCTTGGCATTTGATTGAACCTATGATGTCCAACACGACATCTCCTGACGAAAGGTCATCGATAGTCATCTTGAGTTACAACAAATTACTACTTCTTCGACAGCTTTTATCCCTCATGTGGGTGTTTGATTCCTGCGGTGATTGACGATGCATCAATTGTGAAATTACACCGCAAGTGCCGCGATACACCAGGGAAAGTAAAAATTTACGACTGGTCTGGTGTTGATCGTGTAATCCTCAATAAGACACGTGAACAAATCCAAAGCTAAAATTTTCATTTTATCGTATGTGTTGTATTCGTCCTGACAACCCAGATAACTACAATAGTATTCACGGGTATGAAATTAAGATACCTTTTGTGGATAATTTTACTACTCATTGTAAAACCTACAAACAGAATAATCAAGAACTTATACGCTGACAGGAAGAAATGATATGTTCTCGAGACTTCAAGCCAGGCATTATTGAAAAAGGAAACTTTTATAGCCTCTGAATGTCGAGTGCAGTCTTAGCCCAAAACAACCCTCGGGTTATACCTACCTCTACCAAGGAAATTCGCTACTGCCAGAATTTCAAAATCAATAATGTACACTTTCATGTACATCCCTACCCGTTACCAACAAAACAAGAATGAAATGACCATATCCGTCTGTAGTAAAAGTCCCCTTAAACCACTATCAGTGTGGAGTTAGAATTAGTTTACAATTAATTCACACGAGGTGAATTATTTGTAGACCACGTAGACAATCAAATATAAGAATAAATACACCGCACTGAGCCTCAGGGAGACTCAGTAGGTTTTAGTATCGTATTTTGATGTGTTTACTACACGTCGTGGAGACAGACATCATTTCTACAATGAATATAACCTGCACGCTGAATTCTCTAGAGATTATCTTACCTGGATAACCTCAGGAGAAGATGGTTGGTCCTAATACCGGGACTTTGGGTGTCGAGATGATGACATTAATACTTCAGTCTATCAAGGATGAGACCTTCCAACACCTACGTGATGTGTTACACCACCGTGTTGATTACGGTACAATGTCGCATTGGGGAACACGAGCAAGTACTCGATACAGAAATCTTTTGCCTACTTAGGTACGTATTTGTTACAAGGCTGGTGTACGCTTACGTGCGTCAAAACCTCATCTTTGTCTCTTACGTGACAGTATGAAAGCATACTGTTGTCGTGTTACAATACATCCATATACTGCTGTTAGTCAAGTCCGTTTAAAGGCCCTCAACTCCCTTCGACCGGCGGTCTAAGTGTTCTGTGCCACCATGATTTGATAGTCACAGTACATTGTACCAAACATGGCTTCGATCTTTATGCCACTCACTGATTCGACAAAGGAAAAGGTACCTTACGTATGCACTGCTGCTACATATGCTTCTTACCGATAGGTTATAGAGGCCATTAAGGGTGTCATCATGCTTTTGACTCCGGAAGCCTCCCATCATCTACATATACTGCTGTTAGTCAAGTCCGTTTAAAGGCCCTCAACTCCCTTCGACCGGCGGTCTAAGTGTTCTGTGCCACCATGATTTGATAGTCACAGTACATTGTACCAAACATGGCTTCGATCTTTATGCCACTCACTGATTCGACAAAGGAAAAGGTACCTTACGTATGCACTGCTGCTACATATGCTTCTTACCGATAGGTTATAGAGGCCATTAAGGGTGTCATCATGCTTTTGACTCCGGAAGCCTCCCATTATCTACATCTCTTTGTAGATGTGTGGCCCATTGATGTTGGTTCAGGACTTTTCGTGCGCATACCGCGTCAAGATGAACCCCCTTCCAAGCTTTCCCAAATGGATATTACCAGCCCCTCAGTACCAAACGGGCGGACCAAGCTGATTCTGCCTTGAAAGCCAATCTTATGTTTCAGCAGATCCTTTCCTCTTCTAAGGAGCCGCCACTCAGATGACCAACACCTACCAAGCGTCAATCGGCACGTCGCCCTGACCATTCAGGGCGCGAGAGTACTCACTTAAAGAAAGCTCTACAGTTATCGTGTCCTATAACTATACCAGGACTCAAAACCTCTCCTTGACCCAGGAAAAAGTTTTAGACTACTGGTGCCGACTGACTCTTCCCCGTTACTTACCGTTCTACCAAGCCCAATCCTGCCCAGTCTCGATATCGTATCTTTGACCTTGAAACCATCGCATATGGTTTTGATAAAGATGAAATCCCTATCACACCAAGTTACCACCCTTTAAATGTATGGACTGATCACAAGTCCGTTATATCTCTCTTCTACCCACACATGAAATTCCCAGTATCTACTAGGGGTGATCAGGTTCTTCGCCTGGTCGAGGAAGTTCAAAGACACAACATATATATCAGACATATACCGGGTGACTGGAATTTTGAGGCTGATATGATGTCACGAGCTCCAGCAACTATTGGCCCAATTATGCTGTTCACAACCCAACGAGTCTCCTGGCCTACACCTCTTGCTACACCTCCACCTTTGTTCATCGCATTCCTTCGCACGCATCCAACTGCCTATCCGGAGGATCTCATGTTGAACCCGGCGTGGTTTTGCCTATTGGGTTAAAAATAGGGGTTCCCGCAATTAGACCCCTATGCCAGTCTAAAGGGTCACCGTCTATGAACCTACTGGGCACTACAAGGTGGCACTATGAGTTCTACTGCTGAACTGCCCTGTTTGACAACGGGAACTACCTAGTCATCCCACGATGGTCTAAATATACTGCAATAATAAATTAATTCTTCCAACGTTTCACAAAAGCTTCAAACTCGAAGGCAAGTGCTATCTTGTCTTACTAAAATTATTCACCATATCTACCTCAGTTATTCCATCATCTTGTTGATGTCTAATCACAAATGCTGTGAATACGTTTCTTAAGAAAGGACATGAAACATTGGGTTTACCACCATAAGACTATACACTTGCTGGCCTTTTATCCACCCCTACTCCTTCTACTCCTTTGCCATTGCTTCTTACATTTTGGCAATCCGTGGGTGCTCTTGGTCCTTCTATTGGAATTCGCAACCCTATATCTAACCCACCACTATCAGTGACGATTCTATCCAAATGCAACCCATCGTAACGCGAAGTGGACCCTAAACAAGAAGTTTATTTGGGAAATGCTCTTCGTGACTCTTTTACTGAGACAACTTTCACCATCTTCGCCCTCACCATATACTTTTGCTTCGATGCCTACGCCGTTGTCCGATCAGAGCAACCTGGTACTTGATCGGGCAGCCATATATGTCTGTGACCCCTACTTCAGTTGGGTTCCAGCCTCCTCCACTCTATTCCACGGGTGCACCTTCTCCCGACTCTTTGATCCGTATACATCCTATTAAACCTTCAGATAAACTTATTCCTTCGTCGGCTAGCACTACTTCTGAACCAGACGGAGACTCTGTATTGAAAGGTGTTTCAATGGATGACCTTGAAGCTTTTTCTTCACATCTTGATCCTCTACCGGCGGATTGTGCTCAGCCATCTGCACCTTCCCCTTCCTCTTTGGGTTATATTCTACCTCCCTTAATCGCGAGCCGTTTTATATTAATTCACCTGATCTCGCTGGAAATGAACGTACTACGAAGCTCCACGTTACCCATACTGTGGTCTCTCGTCCGCACACTCTATTGGAAATGAATTAATTACTCTCCCTTAAGCTTTTATCGCTCTGTCCAAAGTTTCGTATAAAATCAATGGTCGTCCCATTGCCCTTAGTAGGGTACTACGCGTTTTACTAGCATTTTATGGTCAAGCGAGGTCATTCACGTCGCCTCCGGTTGGTCCGGTTGCTTTATGACCGCTTCGCTTGGATGGTTGCCCCAGATTTTTTACTTCGTCTTCTCAATACTTGTACTGGGTGTTCTCGTAAAGGTGATGGACCAGGTCCAGCCATGGGACCTTTAACTCAGCCAACGAAAGGTACTTACTTTGGTGCTGTACGACATCTCGATTTCAATGAGACCTCCCGCGGCTTCCGCTATCAATAGTTCTGCATTGATGCATACACGAGGCATGTTACCAGTGCCTCGATGCGAGATAATGAGAGATCAGCTTTTGATGTCATCCAAAATTGAAACAGTAACCTGAACAATTGGCATACACTGCAGAATACATTGCAGATGCTGACAGCCCCGTAAATAGTTAACTACTTACTGATTGGTGCAATGAACAAGATACTCAGTATTGTGTTGTATCCACTGCCGACCATAGACACCATAATGGCCTTGTCAAAGAAATAATTGACACATATACTGCGTGGATTGAGCGCAATGGTGTCCAACCCACTTGAGATTTGGAAAGTTTAATCTTCATCACCCAACCAATCGTGACATAGAAGACATTCTCAATGAGTATTTGGATCCGATGCACATTTCTTTACATTATTCCATCAGCCTACTACTGCTGACAAGGCTGTCCGGGAACGAAATCGTAAATCCAAGGCTTCACAGGCTGTTCAGGCAACCCGTCACCGATATGACGCCCCGATGGTCGCTGTTCATCGCCTCGTCCTCTATAAAATGAAGCCAACACCCTTCTCTGACCGTATGTTGTAGGGCGGTCCGGCACCACTTCAACCTTCGGTCATGCACGTCATTCAGAATCGTGCTACTCTTAAATAGTTTGGAGTCCATCGATCTAAAATCAAGGCTTATCGAGGATCCATCGGTACTCCTGCCCCAAATGACCCTGGCACATGTGGTATTTCATTCTACACACGTTGGCTATTTTATCTCAGCCCATTTAAGGATGCTCCTGAATACGACAAGACTCGGTTAGCTGCTGATTCTAAGAATAGGCCTGCTGCCACTGTATTCCACTACAAATCTATTGGTGCTCTGCGAGCTTCCACGTTTTTGACTGCTGTTCATCAGCATGCCATTGATCAAACTACCTTCCGTGATGTTGATGTTATCCTTCGTACGGCTCACCTCCCTCCTTCACGTATTACTACTTTAAAGTCTGCCTTAAAATTTGTGTATGCACTGGCTTCTGATCCTAACTATAGAGCCTATCAACACCTTGACTGGCGCACTATGTTTGAGGCTACAACTGTGTCGCACTAGACATTGCTATAACCATAATACTACGTCATATGAAATCCTTCATTATTTACAAAATTATCCACAGTAATATAATACAGAGACCTTTGGCTTTGTCATTGTCCGACCAAGCCACCTTTTCATTATCCAGCCAAGCCACCGATTCCTAGAATCCGATATTCTTTCCAAATCGGATGGGGATTGTAAAACCTTGTGGCCCCTGCCTACCTCTGATGAAAACCTCAACCGTTGCCGAAATATTTTCGTTGTCCTTTTAGCGCGTCACTTTTATGTTGGCCAACAGGATTGCTACTGGTCATTCTCCGGGGTATAAATAGTGAACGAATCGGTTGCAATGGCTCACTTTCTTACCGTGACTCAATGCAACCGACCTTGTATAGGTCAGTAAACTAAGACTCCTACGAACTCCTTACATGTGAACTTACGTATCTCTTTGCAGTGCCTTTACAAAATAGAAAAATTATATAGGGGATCGAACTAACGTCCGAACGAGCCTGTCGAATGCAGAAGGTAAAAAATAGAGGAAATACTCTAAATGTACATGGCCTACATGGGAAAGTCACAAAATGTACATACAAATTTACGGGTACGTTTTCGAATTGCCCAATTAAATTCGTTGAATGTGATATTTATTTTCTTTTTCAAACCTATTTAGAATAAAGTTTTGGAAGTACATTGAGTGACTTTTTTATGTACATTTAGTGACTTTTCAGTGCAGTATATATTTTTTGACACCAGGGTTCGACACCATTTCGTAACTTTTTTAATGACACCAGGGTTCAACATCAGTTCGGTATTTTACGTGGTACTTGTTTTATAGTGAATTCGATAATTCAAACCTAGTAAAAAATCTTACACACTAAAGTACATTCATACAGAATTAGTCTGCGTACCATTATACTGCTAAGAGCTTTTACACATAACTACAGCTGTAAGTAGATATACTTTGAGCGGTGACACAAAACAATCTGAGCCGAAGTCATTTTGTATCGGCGACTGGATCTTGCAGGAAAACATTGTATGTATTACAATGCTGTGAATCAGGAGACTGGATCAAAGGATTGCTTATATCTGAGGTATTCTACCATTTGTCGCGATTACCCTCCCGGGCTGTTCGTTTCTGTGATGCTGATACACATATGTATCGTATGGCAGAAAGTTTACGACCTACGATACCCGCACAGGTGTCCGAAAGGATCTCTGTACTGATCCCGTGGAATCATAGGAACGCACATTGGAACTTAGCGATTGTTACATTGTACAATATAAAGGCCACTGTTACCATTCTAGTTAGTATGCCAAGTCCTGCTAGAGCTGACAAACGATTCAGTTATATAGTACGATGGATGAAATGTTGCCTTACAGATAAGGTTACCTACATACAGCCTTAGAGTAGGCGGTGTAACCCAATACGAGAGTTTTAGATGTGGAGCTTTAGTTTGTGCCTATGCTAGAGCAGTATCAGAAAAATCCATAGCTCGTACACAAGTATCGTATGGCAGAAAGCTTACGACTTAGGGGACCCGCACAGGGGTCCGAAAAGATCTCTATACTGATCCCGTGGAATCATAGGAACGCACATTGGAACTTATCGATTGTTACACTGCACAAAATAAAAGCTACAGTCACCATTCTAGATGGTATGGCAAGTCCTGCTAGAGCTGACAAACAATTCAGTTATATAGTACGATGGATGAAATGTTGCATCACAGATAAATCGACATACATACAGCCTTAGAGTAGGCGGTGTACTCCAATACGACAGTTTTAGATGTGGGGCTTTACTTTGTGCCTATGCTCGAGCAGT